AGTGTGTCTGTGGTTGTGTGTGTGTGTGTGTGTGTGTGTGTGTGTTAATGGAGACACATTGTGAGTCATCAGAGGAAATGAAGTCGCAGCTGAAACACAAAACAATCTGTCCACATGTGATGAGCAGTGAATCACACACTGATGTCTCGTTCATACTAACAGTGATTTATTGCTGCTCACGGTGGGCTTTCACACTGCTGGACGCTCAGATTTAAGACAGTCTGGTCATGAACAACATGCAGTGTGGATGAAAATAAGACGCCAATCTAATTTAACCGTCAATCAGTTTTCTTGCTGCTGAAAAATTCACAAGAATTCATTGAAACAAATACAAATGATTTTATGATTCCTGCGCTCCCATTAGTAGCTGCTGCTTCATTTACATAGTTAAACTCTTGATGACATCACTGACAGTCACTGTCACTCACATCACTAGAAATCACTGTCTCATTAGAAATCAAACCAATGACGCGGCTCATGCAAACCAATTTATCAGTCTGTTTATTTAATAAAATAAATGTTTTTTTTCTCCTTGTTTCACTTGTCTGATGCGACACACACACACACACACACACTGACTGATGGTGTATGTCGATGGTCTTGGGTCATCCGGCAGGTCACTAGATGGAGTTCATACGTCTAACTGAAGTTCTGATTGATTGATCCGTCCACACGCTTGAGCGCTTCACTGCACACTAACACACACACACACACACACACACACACACACTCACTCACTCACTGTGTTTTTGTCTTGTTTTCCAGTACAGATATCCAGACATCTCTAAAAGTAGTTCAAGGAAAAAACAGCATAAGAAAAAGGCTTTTTTTATTATCCAGTGTGTGTCCAGTGATCTGATACATGTTAGTCAGAAGAGTGTGTGTGTGAGTGTGTGTGTGTGTATGTGTGTGTGTGTGTGTGTGTGTGTGTGTGTGCAAATTTGTACCCAAAAGTGAGCAAAACCTGACAAAATCACTAAAAACCTCCATTTGGGAATGTCCTCATTTGTAAAACTGGTATAAAAAACAAGTAAACAAAGTTTTTTTGAAATTGTAAAAATGCAGAAAGTTTTCTGTGAGGGGTAGGGTTAGGGGGTGGGTTTAGGTTAAAAAGTGTACAGAAGTCAACATTTGAAGTGGATCAAAACCTTTCATCAAAGTTGTCCTAAAACCAAAACAATACCTGTTCTTGTCTTAGGACAACTTTGATTAACTTTTTTGATCCACTTCAAATGTTGACCGCTGTATTACTATCTGTATATAAAATCAATAGAAGTCTATGTAATGTCCTCACTTAGATAGCTAAGTAAACGTGTGTGTGTGTGTGTGTGTGTGTGTGACAGGAGAACCAGTGGCTGGAGAGCATCTCTCTGCTGATGAAGGACTCGCTGGATGGAGAAATGCAGATGATTGATAATCTATCAGGATCTGTGTTCCACCATTACTGCTCTCCACCAATCAGACGAGACGGCAGGAGCCAATCAGGAGAGGTGAGGATACCTAACGCGATTCCCAAACTGTCTGTCAGCCGAACCCCTTAGACCTAAAATATTTACTTGAAGTACCCCTGAGATTTTATTTACGTAAAATAAAAAATTACAATTTTATTTGACACATTTGCATGTTACAAATCTCTGATGTTAATAAAAATTATAATAATAATACAATTGTAATTGTACTATAAAAAAATTATTTTTTTAAATTGTAATTATGAAATGCTTCAGACTGTACAGTTATTTAATTAAATTGCAGCCTTTGATAATCACACTAAGCTATATAGCGATTATCATGCAGACCCAGTTATTTATTTTAATTTTACATTTGATATAATTTTTATTCACTATTCATTATTTATCCACTTTTTCATCAACTCAAAAACCCTCATCTGGGAAATCCGGCACTAATGAAATTATTCAGTGGAATCAGAATCGTTCAGTTCGTATGAGTCTCATCCATCATGAAGCCCAACAGACAGAAGATGATCGTCAATGATCACGTTTGCAGAGAATTGCATGAAACATCATCATGGCTGAATGTATCACATCTAAGACTAATTCTAAACAAAATGAACATGGAAACGGCATCTGAAACATGAGGATTCAATATTGTAATTTATGCATACGGTGTGAGATCTCCTTCAGGCTGATTTTAAGAACGGTGATGATAAAAGAAGCTGCATTTGAAATCCTGTCTGTGATGGATCATACTGTGTGTGAGTGTGTGTGTGTGTGTGTGTGTATGTGTGTGTGTGTGTGTGTGTGTGT